AAAAACCATGAATATATTTTGAAACAAAATAAACAATTTCATCCAATAATCCTGAATAGCTTTAACCTAAACATATAGATGGAAACTGCAACATAATGCTAACACAAACAAACCCGGGATAGTAAGTGAAGAAAAGCTGCAAACTAATGTTTAAATTTAAGCATTACAAATCAGAAGAAAGAATAAAGGACAAGTGGTGAACACAACCTGGACCACTTTGTCACAGTTGAAATTCAAGTTTATTAAATCTTTTTTTTTAGTAACAAAGGTAAAAATTTGCTGCTTTGTTTTGGTAATAAAGAAATACTAATATTTACTCCTCCAATCTTCTCTTGTTTTCCTCAGATATCGTGAACTGCGACCTTAAATCAACGCTGCGCGTTCTCTATAACCTCTTCTCCAGGTACAGAAACGTGGACTGAACGCTGCTCTTCACCAGTGGGAAGACATTAAAGCAACACCATTTGTTTTCAGTGAGGTTTTTTTTAAGCCATCCGTTTGTTTTAAGAAGTTATTCTGTTTTTTTACTAAATGAATCAAATTTGTTGCACTCAGAAAAACCAATATCTACTTTTACGTTGTAAAAACGGATCTAAAAATGAGTTAAATGTGCTTAAAATAAAATGTATTTGCCCCTGATATGAGCAGGTAATCGCCCACTAAATATGTTTGACATGAAGATAATGGAGATGATTTTTCTTATTTAAAACATAAACCATCTTTTTTAAGTGGCCAATTGTCTCACCTGCTCAAAACAAGGGAAATAAGGTTTTTTTTAAAGAAAAAGAGTTCATTTTTCAATTTTTGCAGAACAGTGCAACTTTAAAGAAATATTATTGTTGTAAATTGAGCTGAACATCATAAAGATGCCTTTTCAAAGCTTAAATAAGCCAAATGATTAGACGCCTAGGATAGATATCAGGACCAGATTTTGGATATTTTTCTTTTTTTTTAATGTTTTATAGAAAAAGGAAAGAAAAAAATACATTTAAATGTATTTATTTCCATGTTGATACCATGCGTGATCTTTCGGTCCTCATAAATGTATTTTATTTAAACATGTGAACCCTTAAAGTCCCTGATTAAGACAAATTAGTCCCCACATGTCTGAATTCTCCAGGTTTCCTTTGCAAAGTGAAACCTTTAAAATATTTGACCAAAGTTTCGCTGTTTTCCCATAATCTAACATAAAACATTTGCTAAGCAAATTCCTGCCTTTTTTTTTATATTTTATGAATAAAATGTATTGGATTTTTATGAGCCATATATACAGTATATATACCCATATGTGCATGGAATGATAAAGAAAAAGCTTTCTTCAGTAAATAATCCTGTCATGGTTTAAAAACAATCCCTGTAATATCTGTTTGTTCTAATGCATTACATTTAATAAATATCGCAGCGTTTGAATGCGGTTACATTTTTCTGCCCCTCAATAGAAGTAAAGAGGAATGTGTTTTGAGCCAAAACAAAAATAAAATAAAAAATTGGGGTCAAAATGCTTGCAATTTTCTGAGTGCAGAATGACAAGTGAACCTCCAGAACAATTTTCTTTTCACTAAATTGACACGGACTGTTAGAAAAGCAGAGTAAAAGCTTTCTGAATTGGAGCTGACCCCAATGCAGACCGAAATAGACAGAGGACTTACTGAAAGGATGAAAAGGTTCATTTCTCCTCACACATTCCACAATAGCCTTTGAAAAGGTAGGGGGGATTGGGTGTGTACGCGCCTGTGTTGATGTATTATTGATGACGCTGTGGCATTGCTCGGGCCCACGCACGCTACACAGGCATTCGGATTGAGATGTTTGGGATTCTGTGTTGCTTTTCAATTAATTTCCGTGTCCATTGTGTGTCCTCTGTGTATGGCCTTAAAAAAATAAACTAAAATGCTTTTGGACTGTGATGTATTTGGGAGCGAATCCATTGTCCGGTTCTAATTTAATTTTCAACTCAAGAGTTTTGAGAGCCAGCGCTGAAGTGTCTTTTGTGTAGCTTAAGCACTGCTGTGTTACAGACATTAAGTCTTTGTCCTGAGAAAAAAAGGTTTGTGTAATGTAAATATGAGCAGAATAAACCAATATTAAAAATGTCTGCGTGATACCTCTTGTAACCGTCTCAAAATAAATGTATTTTTCCTCAACACGCAAAGATGTGACACCGAGCGTCTTGGTCTTCATCCTGTCTGAGATATCGGTCTAAATAAAGTTAGACCCGCTTGTCTCTTTCAGCAGTGGATGTTTGAGGGGTTTCCTTCATGTACAACATCTTAATAGGATGAAAATCTGGGCAAACATTTCAACCTGCAATAGACTGGAGAATCCTTCAGTTCAATTCAGTTTATTTTTAATATAGAGCCAGCTCACAAAACATGTCATCTCAAGGCACTTTACAGAGACAATGTGACCAGATCATCCAGTCAGATTGATTC